GAGTGGAACTGCCCCAGAGGGTTTCCAAGGCTGTCAATCTTTACAGAAGCCGACTGCCTCATCTTTCTCCTGCAGAGGGGCTGGGTGGTTTGGAACTGCCAACCTTTTGGTTAGCAGCCAAGTGCTTAACTACCGCCACCAAGGCTCCCAAGATTACAGCTAGTGGCGCAGTTCTAGGAGCTCTGGTGGTGCAGTGCCTAAAGCATTTGACTGCTAACCAGAAGGCTGGCGGTTCAAACCCACCAGGCACTCTGCAGAAGACGGGGCAATCTACTTCTGGAGAGAAACTGCCTGAGAAACCCAAAGGCGTCGCTATGAGTCCGAATTGACTCGATGGTTTGGGAGCAGTTGTGCTCTGCCACATGGGGTCATCAGGAGTCCAACTCAATGGGATGGCACCCAACACCACCACTCAGACGGGCAGAGTGATGTCGCCAGGGTAGCAGTTACCGTAGAGGACTCAGAGCTGTACCGAGAATGTGGCCACACTGGGTGTCTGTGGGGTGGTGGGTGGGGAGTCCCATCTGAGCCTCAGCTTCCCCTTGGCATCAGACTCTAAGCGTTTATGGGGGACAGGGCACAGAGACCTAGGTCCAGGGGCTCAAAGTCCAGGCCCTCTTATCCTTCCCCTTGGAGGGCTGGGGCTGGGGCGTCCGGGCAGGCTTCGCACCTCAGCCTGGCCTCTCACCCCGGCAGGTGAGCTGCGGCGGCGGGCAGGCCCAGCTGGTACTGAGCGGCACAGGCGAGAAGCTGCAGTTCACCCTGTGGGAACAGGGCGGGCCCAGCACCTCCTACCCGCTGGCCGCCTTGTGGAGCCACGGCTGTGCTCCAGCCACCCGCCAGCGCCTTCACCACGCACTCCGTATGCTTCAGGGCATCCAGGGGCCCTGAGGGGCAGGGCGGACCCCTGGCTGGGCCTGAGGGTCAGAGCAGACCTCTGTGTGGCAGTGCCACGGACCCAGGCACCACTTCTTTTCCTAGGGCTCCCCCAGAGGGGGTGTCCTTGGGGGCATGCTGGGAGCACGAGGGGACGGGGGTCCTCGCCTTGTGGCATGACTGTTCAACTGGACTTCTGTCTTGCCTTGTTTTTTTCATTAAAGAAATCTTAACTCTGTGTCCTGTGGTCAGCTCTCATCAACACCTTAGGGGGACAAGGGAGCAAGTGGCTTGTGATATGGAAGCCCCCTAAAACGTGTCCCCACCATCCAGAAATTCTGCCTGTGCACAGGGGTGTGGGAACCAGAGCAAGGGCTTGTTGGCCCTGAGGGAGCTGCTGTGGGGTCTGTGGTCTATAACTTCTCAAAAGTGCTCTTACACCTTGAGGCAGGGGTCTTCCGCGGAGAATTCTGCCCCTCCTCCCCAACACTGAGGCTGTCTGGGGACATTTGTGGCCGCCACGACTGGGACGGGGGTGCTACTGGCATCGATTGGGTGGGGGCCAGAGATGCTGCTGAACACCCTGCAGTAGGACGGCCCGCGGCGGAGCAGGGTCAGGTCCGTCCGTGTCTGCAGTGCCCAGGGAGAGGCTATCCGTAAGATGTGGCGCTTCATTTTCCAAAGCATATCTCAGTTGTCATTGGAAACAACCCGTAAAGATGACAGTGCCTGCCTGGTGAGAAGCAGAGGGACCCGGGGCCCACGCAGTGCCCTGCCCGCGTCCCTCATGGGTAGTGTTCAGCGACTGAGGCTGCGGCCGTGTCCAGTGTCTGGGGTGCTGGGGGCAGGAGCGTTGACCCACTAGTCACTGGGGTGTCCCTCCCAGCTCTGCCAAAGATCTCGTGTCCTGCAACACTAGCAGCAGGAGGGCACTGGCTCTGCTCAGAACGGGGTACCACGTCCATAGCCCAGCCCCCATCCTGAGGCCCTCTCCCTGTCCCGAGGCTCCGCCCCCGTCCCGAGGCCCCGTCCCCGTCCCGAGGCCCCGCCCCCACCCTGCCCTGAGGCCCCGCCCCATCGCATTCCCGTGGCCCTGCCCCCTCCAGACCCCAAGGCCCGGATCTGTGGTTCCATCCCTGTGGCCTGTTCCC